TCTCTAGCTCTGTCTCTCAAACACCCTGCTGCATATCTCACCTTCGACCCCTCGGGGCAGAAGCTGGTCAGCTGCGCAGACTCAATGTCTGCAATCCAGCGTCTGGCCACAATGGGGTCCTTCGCCCCGTGGAAGTCCGTCGCACCACTGCTCCTGAAGTCCTTAAAGGACAGTGTGCGAGATCCTGACTGGCCAGATGCCATGTCACTCCTGAACGCCCTGAGGCGGTCCTCCATCAGCTCAACTATCCCTTCCTTGATCGACCCGAAAATGATGGGGGTCGACTCAAGGATGCCTCTGGTGATCTCTGACGCGATGAACTCGCGTAGCCTCTCATCCACTGGTTCGGAACCTGAACCCGGACCCGATCCCTCTCCCGAACTGCCAACTACTGGCCTCGAACGTAGTACCACCATTCTGCAATACATAATGATAACTGTCAGTGGTACTGATACATCTTAGAGGGATCACATCTACTGCAAGGTTCCTGGTCTCGCCTCAGCCTTCCTCAATTCAAGTACGGATCCTCTGCTTTCAGTAGTACGGGCCCATACTACCTTCCACATCTATCCGTACTTTCCTCAAGAACTGCCTTGACTCCACCAAGTCCCTTCTACTACTACTGCTGATCTCATGCTACTCTCATCCTAGGCTTGCCCTAGGTAACCACCCACCCACTCTCCGTCATCAGCTGCATAAGAAGTCCCTGCTTTCTTCCCCTAACTAGCTCGCGAATACTATTACATATTACTCAGACTAGATAATTCTTCGAATGAGAGACCCTACCCTACAACGGTTGGACTCAAACAAGAGCTGCGAAATAGGGCTAGACCCAACCTTCTGGAATTATTTAGTCCTTGCAATATGTAACTTAACGTATTCGTTTACTAGTTAGTGAAAGACAGCTAGAACTCCTAAAAGCACAAAGCAAGCAGCATTCAGACAAAGGAAACTACTCAAGCAAATCTATTTCCATAACAAGAAACTGTACTAGCATACAATGCTAAGCTCATACTATCAGGCATAACCTAAACAGGCTATCCTACTGCTGTCTACTCAATACTAGCATGCAATTCTCATAAAGCTGAAGCACATAAAGCAGGCACATAAGGCATCATTCCTAGATCCTTAGTCCTATTCTAGCATGCAGTTCTACTGAAACTGGTAAATCATAACATGAACTTGTATGGGTACTCTGGGGAAAACTTACTTGAGCTCGGCCGGTCGCGCACATCACACACCTTGTTCTTTCTCAAAACTCTTTTACTTAGCCTTTAGAAAATCATTTCTTTATAAAAATCTTTTAATCCCTCGATTTGAGTCCAGACACCCCCGAAGGTGTGTCCGAATCCCTCAAACCAGGGCTCTGATACCAACTTGTAACATCCCAATTTTCACGTCCAAAAATTTCCTTTTTGATTAATTGATTTGTAAAACATTTGTAATAAAACACCATTCGATCATATCATTTCATAAAAATATATCTCGTGTCTGAAAACCAAATCATGAAAATAATAATAATGTCAGAGTACAATCCCAGAACATCTCATAATGCAGAAAAACCAATGCGTGTGTGTATGATGTGCCGCTACCGCGCCAGCTCCTTCCCCTTCGCTGAAGAGGTACCTGAAACAAAACTGTAAACTGTAAGCACAAAGCTTAGTGAGTTCCCCCATTGTCCACATACCATACAATCATATAGCATACATACTGCCAGGCATTTCTGGGGTGCCTGACCTACCCGGTACGACCATTCTGGGGTGCCTGACCTACCCCCGTACGACCATTCTGGGGTGCCGACCTACCCATGCGGCCATTCTGGGGTGCCGTCCTACCCGTGTCAAGCCATTCTGGGGCGCTGACCTACCCATGTCGAGCCATTCTGGGGTGCTGACTACCCTTCGGTCCTAACAACCGAACCTCGGGGACTATTTCACCCCCTACTACTACTATCACATATATCATAACATAATCTACTGTCAGACATATCTGGAGTGTCCGACCTACCCTTCGGTCCTAACAACCGAATCTCCGGGACTGTTCCCCCTCCTACTACCTCTATCTCATATAACACATCATGCTAGCAGCTAAACATATCATAACATACTGTTAGGCATATCTGGGGCGCCTAACCTACCCTTCGGTCCTAACAACCGAATCTCTATCACTATCACATATCATATCACGCTAGCATATAACATATCAGGTAGTAGCAACACAGATGAATATCACAAAGACAAACATCTATCATACGATCCCTACTGGTGGGCCGGCAATGTGGCCGTAGACCCACCGCTACTTGAAGGTAACTCACCTCGTAGTAGCTGCTGATCTGTGGGGGAACTATCTATCTGCTGCTGCTGCTCCGGAAATCCTCCGGCTATAAATCCCACAAAACACACAATCAGAATCTGATATCTACTCTTTGGGTAAAATGACCATTTACCCCTGATCAAGTCAAGTCAAAGTCAAAATCAACTTCCAGTTGACCTGACTCGCCGAGTTGGCTAGCCAACTCGCCGAGTCCCTAACCTTCCATTTGTCCTTATCCATGACTCTACTCGTCGAGTTGGACCGTCAACTCGACGAGTTCTTCTCTCATATGAACGTCACATGAAAACTCATCCGACTCGCCGAGTTGATGAACAACTCGTCGAGTCCACCTTCATCTGATGAACAAGATCTGTCCTCGACTCGCCGAATTGATGAACAACTCGTCGAGTTCTAAGAAGATTGCCTTGGACTCGCCGAGTCCAAGAACGGACTCGCCGAGTCCAGTCTTGACCAATTCCATACAGTTGATTTAAATGGGATCTAGCACACCAAAACCATAGATCTGGCCTCCTAATGTCCACTTTATACGTAAAGTTCCAAACTTGATGCACATGCATGGGGTTTTTAGCTCAAAATCCACATAAAGTGTCCTACAATGAGCATGGGGTTCTCATGGCCCTAAATTTGGCACCTTTATGCCATGAAACCCCTCTTAAGGCCCAGATCTGAAGGCAAAACCCACTCCACACTTCCAATACCAAAACATGACTTAACAATCCAAAGAAATCCCAAGTTAAAGATGAATAACACATAGATGAGTCAAGACAGGGGCATTATACCTTGAAGCTGCTGAAAATGAAGTAAAATCTCTGGATCTACTGTCCCCAACTCAGGTTCCAAGCTCCTTTCTTCCTTCCAAGCTTTACAACCACACAAGAACACCAAAAATGGCCTCAACAATGCACAAACGGCTAGGGTTTCAATGAGAAGTGTTTTGGGAGCATAAGGGACAATATGGCCGTCATATCATTGCTTAAATAGGGTGCAAACCCTCGGATTAGGGTTTTTGGTCCGAACAGCACCTACTCGCCGAGTCCGGGACCCGACTCGCCGAGTTCATCACTTAAGTCTCGCGTCCCTTCTCGCTTCTACTCGGCGAGTTGGTCCTTCAACTCGCCGAGTCCAAGGCCAAAATGCAAAATATTTAAAGAATTAATAAAAAGAATACGTACCAAGAACCAGGTGCTACACACGAAATCTAGAAAATTGATAAATCTCTATCACTCTAAGAAATCTGAAAATCAGTAAAAAAAAAGTAAAAATCAATTGCTTATTCTTACCTGATCAGATGTTATTGCTTCCTTATTGCTCAATCGATTACTGGAAAGTCTGGATGGAATCGATTTCAGAAATCAGTTGTTCTCGTAATCTCGTTTTCCTTCAATATCGGGAGCGGGAGTGCGGGACTGTGGAAGATACAAGGGGTCGAGGGGACAGTTCAAGAATCAAGGTTCAAGGACGATAGCAATTGGCATTGAAAACTGAAGAGTCCCGCTTTAGGCTTGAACGAATCAACGTGCGTACGAGAAGCTACCGAGAAATCAGGCGCCAATTTTTTTTTTCTGATTACCTAATGGAACTCTATATGGGCCTCAATGTTTCAGAAAACACATACCGGACTATTTCTATTTGCTATAACAGACTTCTTAAATGGGCCCTATACAAATTTTGGGGCCCTGGGCCATTGCCCAACCTGCCCCCCCTATTGGGTCGGGCCTGTTGTGAAGGATAAGAACGATGTGGGGGTGGGGTGGTGGGTCCAAATTCATTCATATATAAGGGTAGTATAATTATTTTACATAGACAAAAAAACAAAATCGTAATATTTGAAAACCACAGCGATGAAATGTATAAATTTTATGAAAATAAAATCGAAACTTCAAATTTGACCAAACAATAGGGGCTAGTTCTGTAATTTAGTCTAAATTAAATAATAAATGCAAAGTTGCCCACAGCGTATTGTGGCTGCCTAAGTCCATTTTATAAGTTGAATTTTAAAGATTGCCCAAATCCATTTTATAAGTTGAATTTTGACGATTATATTAATAAAAGTTAGATATCATTATATTTGTTAGAAGATAAATATACAAAACCGATACCATTGACTAACTCCAATATATACCGTTGAATAAAAATGAATTACATATGACCAAATTCATACGTAGTAAAGTACATAAAAATATTTACGAAAATATAAAGAAATTATATTTTATATCAACACACATAAAAATAAGTAAGATTATTTTAAAGTTAACGAACGGAAGTTCAAATAATCAAACATGTTATATGTGATATGATTCATACGTAAGAAGCATACATAATATAAACATGAAAACGTTAAAATGTTACATCGAAACGTAGACAAACTCAAATTTATACCGAGACATACATACAAAAACAAGTAATTTTTTGGGTTAAATATAAAACGTTCGAAAATAAAAGGGTTGAAACTGATATTTTAAAAGGTTCAAAATAGAAGGACTTAAAATAACATTTTGCGAAATATAGGAATAAAAAATATCATTCTTGAAAGTTAAAAGAAGACAAGGGGTGGAAAGTATATTTCTGAAAGTTGAGGGGAGGTAAATATGGTAACACCGACATTACCTTAATGTAGTAGTATAATACTTTTTTAATGCGAAAACCGTAAGATATATAGTTTCACGATCGAAGAACATACGCCTCCCTTTCTTCGTCGCCGAACTTCGGCCACCCACAGCCTCCCTTTCCCTCTCCAGAGAAAGGATTTCAACTCGCTGAGTCACCTTTCACCGGAGCACCGTACCTCACCATCTTTCCTAGAAGCAGATTCGTGACTGCTAGCAGCCATGCCTAAACATTACAGGCCTCCAGTAAGTTTCAAACGAAACTTACAAGTAATTCCCTACACGGAAGAATATCGTTTTTATGTTGCGTTTTTTACTTATGGTTTGCAGGGGAAGAAGAAGGAAGGGAACGCCGCCAGATACATCACTAGGTCGCAAGCTGTTAAGGACCTGCAAGTCAGTCTTTCCGTGTTCAGGTATTAATTTGCTTTGAATCTACTTGGCGTATGTTGTAGACATATAGATGTGTATGAGGTGAGATAAGAAGCACAAAAGCTCAATGTTTGAATTTGCAATCGACGTAGTTAAATGTATATTCATATTGAGTGTTTTGAATGAGGATCTAGAATGAAGAATTTGAATAAGTTTTTATTGTTAAATGTATTGATTTATCTTCAATGAGCGTTTTTGAGATAAGAGGTTCAGAACCCTAGTTTGGAGTGATAAGAAGTCCATAACCCTAATTTGATGTCATTTACTACCATGATCAAGGGTCTTATTGATTTAAAAAGCAAAACATGTAATAGTGTGGATTTGAATAGTTACTCTCTTGTGTTGTGTATTTGATAGTTAAATATTTGGTACGTATTCAATTCATAAGAGGTTCTATATTTTCAATTATGTATACTCACTCTAATAATCCAAATGTTTTGGTTGTTTATGATTCAATAGGAAATTATGTATCTTCAAAAAAGTTTTTCCTCGAGACCCGAAGAAAAAAGTGAAGGGAAACCACCATACCTATTATCACATGAAAGATATTTTGGGTCTTAAACATGAGCCACTTCTTGTCAAGTTTCGTGAGACTAGGACATATGAGAAAAAGAAAAAGAAAGCAATGTCTAAGAAGAACAAAAATCTTGTTGAATGCGTGTCGACACGCAAGCCTTCTTACACACTTGATAGGCCTATCCTTGAGAGGTTAGTGTGACTATATATCTAACTTATAAAACACTTTTTGTTGCATTTTCCTTTTGACTCAATGAGGACATTACTTAATCCAGTAAGCTATATAGCTATATATTGGTTTTTCTTTTGCACTAAATGCAGAAAGAAAGACTTGATAGCAAAAGTCAAAAGGAGACTTTCCCAATTAAGTCCTAACTTTTTACAAATTTGACTTCAGGTATCCAACATTCATTGATGCATTAAGAGTTTTGGATGATGGACTCACCATGGTGCATCTTTTTGCTGCATTACCTGCTATAGAAAGGGAAAACATTCAAGTAGAAAGAATCCATAACTGTAGAGGGTATATATGTGTAATGTGTTCCCATATTTTGAATATCTAATTTTATATCTTAATGGTTTATATCTTTTTAATTTCTTTAGGTTGAGTCTTGAGTGGCAAGCATATGTCTCTCGCACACATAAATTGCGAAAGGCTTTCATATCTGTGAAAGGCATATATTACCAGGTATAGAAATCATCACATATATAAATTATTAAATTTGATGTTATATAGAATGTAAATTTACCAATTTGCCCCTTTTAGGCAGAGGTTGAAGGGCAAAAAATCACATGGTTGACACCTCATGCACTACAACAAGTAATGCCTCAAGATGTAGATTACAAGATCATGCTTACATTCTTGGAATTATATGAGGTTTGTGATAATGATCAAGCTTCTACCTTTCTTATGAATATTATCTTTTTGTTTTAACTCTTACTTACATATAAATTGATTAAAATATGCAGAATCTCCTTGGTTTTGTTAATTTTAAACTCTACAATTCGATTAATTTGAAATATCCACCTATCCTTGATCCTCGACTGAAATCTTCAGCTTCAGGTATGAATTTTCTATCACATGATAGATTAATTATTACTAGATATCATAAGGTAAATTAACTTTTTAAAAATTTGTGCAGATTTATATGCTTTGACAAGGTATGTTGAAAATGCTGGTGATGAGAATGAAGATGATAAAGAAACAAGAGCATGTAAAACCCTTTTCAAAAAACATGACATTCTTCTTGAGTCGTGAGGTAAATAAAGTCGATGTTTTTTTAAAAAAAAAAAAATTAATAAATGCTTCACCTTCAAGCTTCTTTCATCTTGTTAAAGTGAGTGTCTATTTGTTTTACAGGTTCCAAGAGAATCATTGCTTTTTGTGATTACGGCATTTGGTGGTGTGGTTTCATGGGAGGGAGATGGAGCTCCATTTGAGGAATCTAACCAGAGCATTAATTATCAGGTATTTTATTATTTTATTATAAAAAATTCTTTTATATATTTCTTACTAATTAATATTATTCTGGTGTTTTATTTTTGTAGATTGTTGATAGGCCAAGTCAAAGTCACCAGAGATTATATACAGCCACAATGGGTCTTTGATTGCATAAATGCACGAATTATACTACCAACCGAAGAGTATATTGTTGGGAAGTAAGTTCAATGAACACCACTTTTTAACATTAATTTTTAATAGAGTATAATTTTTTGTCCTTAAGTATAGCTGATTTTTGCATATTTGGTCCTCAAAAGTTTTCTATCACAATTTTAGACCTTATTTGAGGTTCTTGTAATGTTTTTGGTACCTTTTCACACTAAATGACCATCTTTGGTCCTAAATTATGGCTGATTTTTGCAATTTTGGTCCCAAAAAGTGTTCTTTAACAATTCTAGTTCTTATTTGAGATTCTTGTAATGTTTTTGTTCATTGTTCAAAGTAAAATGACTATTTTCGGTCCCAGAGTAGAGTATATCTGATTTTTGCAAATAAGGTCCCAAAATATTTTCTTATACATTTTTGGTCCCTTTTTTCCAAGTAAAATGATTATCTTTGGTCCCAGACTATAGCTGATTTTTGCAATTCTTGTCCCAAAAAGTGTTCTTTTACAAATTTAGTCCTTATTTGAGGTTCTTGAAACGTTTTTGTTCCTTGTTCAAAGTAAAACGGACATTCTTGGTCCTTGAGTAAAGCTGATTTTTGCAATTTGGTCCCACAAATTTTTCTTTCAGTTTTGGTTCTTATTTCAGGTTCTTGTAACATTTTTGGTCCCTGTTTCATGTAAAATGACTATTTTCGGCCTAAGTATAGTTGATTTATGCAATTTTGGTCCTAAAAGTATAGTCATTTTTCTTGGAACCTAGACCAAAAAATGTTTCAAAAAACTCAAATAAGGACTAAAATTGAAATAATAAACGATACCCAGGGACCAAAAGATGATAATAGTTGTTAACATTGTTATTGTGTGTAAATCAGGGTTCTTCCACCACATTTGTCTCCATTTGTTGACAATGAAGTAGAAGGGTATGTACCCGAGTATGCAAAGACCATTAAAAGGCATCAAGCTGCTGCTAGAAAAGAGATCCTCCCAATGCCAGGTGGCGAACAAGATGATCTTAATAATGCCCAAAATCTACTTGCTGAAGGCATCATTGATCGCACTAAAGCCAAAGAAGCCGCGGAAAGAAAAAGAAAGGTTACTCTCCTTCCCTCCTGCTTTACAAATTTACATTTTGGTCCTTGTGCTTTGGTCGTCCTCTCGGATTTGGTCCCCAAAAGAATCTTTCTTTCTTCTTGCTCCCTGTTTCATTACGCCTTACATTCCAATGATTGATGAATAATGATAAAATTTTGTATCTTTTCTTGATCGGCAAATGACCATTATGCCCTTGCATCCCAGAAAGCTTATTTACGATCTTCATTATATTTAGTGTGCTTACCCCCCAATAAGCCCATTAAGTAAGAAAAGAATCAGCTCCTTAGTCTATGAGTTGGTGTTGTGTTGAACCTACCTGTGTAAAATGACGATTTTACCCCTTGGGGATGCAGATGGCGATGCTTCAAGAGGAGTATCATCAGGAACTAAAAAAGGAACTGGAAGGGACAACACAACATGCACCCACTACACCTAAAGAGAGCAAGAAGAAGAATAAGAATGTTGATGATGAAGAAACGGAAGATGATGAAAATCTGCAGCAGTTTGCTGATGATAATGACAACATGTCAAAGGTTGCCATGTCACGTAAAAAGAGGAGACTTTATGAAGCCATGAAGGTTAGTTTACCTTACTTTGTATTTATCTATTTTTTTTATCAAGAAGCCCATAATATGTTTTGTTTATTTAATTTGTGTTTCTTTGTGTCCAGATTTCGCAAGAAAGGAAAAAGGCAAGTGTGGATACTCTCAAGACAAGGAAGAAAAATATTTAAAACTCCAAGAAAACAACATCTGACTGAAGCTGATTTAGAGATTCAAGGTCCTTCCCTGCGTTTTTATAATCAAAGCAATGAATTAAATTTTGTAGGTATAGGCTTTTTTTTACTTGTTTTTATAACGGTGGATTTTTTTCTCAAAATTTGGTTTGTTTCTGGATCTGATGATATTCTTACTAAATCACATATGGTATGACAGTGAATTTGTTCTCTGTGAGTATTAATTTGTGTTTATGTTTTTCACATATTATGTTTAACATCTTAGAATTAGAAAAACTTATAATTTTAAAAGAATGTGAACCCATGTGATATGATTATTTTTTTCACATAACTATCTCCAATAGTATAAGGGAGCTCTTATACCGTTGGAGTGAAATGTTTTTTGGTTAATAATATCAACCTCTTTAGGCTATTGTTAAACCTCTTCTTTTCTTTTCTTCCTTTCTATGTTTGTCATTGCCATATCATTTTCACCCTCATTGCTTTCTTTCAACCTATATTATATTCGTTTTTCATCTTTCATTATTTTAATTTAATACAAATAATAAAAATAATTCTTAAGATAGTTACATTATTTCATTAAATAAAAAAAAAAAAATACAATAAAAAGTACAACGACAATGGTGAAAAAAGAGTATTAGATAGATTGAAATTTTGTTTGAAAATTGAGTGTGGTTGTGGTTATGGTTGTGCTAGGAAGATGAGGTTGGTTACATGATGATAGCGGCGTTGTGAAAATTGAGGAATTTTGAAAATTCATTTTAGAGGTTAATAAGAGAGAAAATAAGAGAGGGTGGTGTGAAAAAAATTATTAAAGTTTATGGGTATTTGACCGTCCGTTATACCCACCACTAATCATTATAGTGGTGAGTGTCACATCATCACCACAATACCCACCACTAACCATGGGATATCTACCACAATACAATTCTTATTTTTTTTATTTTTAAATAAAATATATATATTTTATTGTAGAGAGAGAAGAGAAAGTTAGAGAGATAGAGAGAGAGAGAGAATGCAATTGGATGTGGTGATCCATGGTATACACCACAATTTACCACGACCACTATCAACCACTAAACACCATGATGGTGTTCGTGGTTAGTGGTCGTTGCCACCTAGACCACGAAAGGCTTTGTGGTATGCATACCTGATGGCCTTATAGAAGGTATTATGTTTTCTTTTCAAAAAGTAATCGTTGTCAAAAGAGAAGAAAAAAAAAAGGAGAATGCAACGTGGTTCCATTGAGTGTGGGCAACGTCCTAGCCTATACGGTGTTCCCGTCGGGAACAAGTGCTACATGTCGGCCACTGCAGGGTGCGGTCCTTTAATAACGCAAAACCTTACATTTTACATTTCACTGAATGTTTTTTTTAAGCTTAATGTTTGATACAATTAAGTCATTTTATTTAACAATGTTCCATTTTATTCCCTTATTTTATTTAACATTTAAAGTTTTATTATTTTTTGATTAATTAGTTTTTATCATTTTAATCTCCAATGTTAAATATTAAATTCGTAATTATCACATGATGTTTTTATTGTATAACTATTAGGGGTGTGCATGGGTCGGTTTGGGTCGGTTTTGGACCCAAACCCAACCCAACCCATAATGGTCGGTTTCTGATTTTAAGAACCCAATAGGATCGGTTTCTGGTCGGTTCGGTTTCTCGGATTCTGAGGTCGGTTTGGGCGGTTTTTCGGTTTCTTGGGTTCAACCCATACATTCATGGGTTCTGGGTTTAAACCCGTGGGTTTTGGGTTTTAACCCATTTTTCATAAATGAAGCAACAAGTTAAATACTTTAAAAAACATCAATTTAAGTTAAATCCTTCAAAAAACATGAGTCTTACAACAAATAGTCTATTACAAGTCACAACCATAGCCCGAAATAGTCTATTACAACCAAAAAACAATCAAGTATGGGTCGGTTTCTCGGGTTGGATGGGTCGGTTTTTTTTGGGCGGTTTGTCGGTTTTAAGTATGGGTCGGTTTCCCGGGTTGGATGGGTCGGTTTCTAGGTAAAAATCGAAACCGAACCCGATTTTTCGGTTTTTAAAAAATTTAAACCCTAACCGTCGGTTTTGCTTCGGTTTCGGTTTTTTCGGTTTCGGTTTCGTCGGTTTTAGTCGGTTTCTCGGTCTTGGTTTGGGTTTGCTCACCCCTAATAACTATAACTAATAATAATTTTATCATCTTTTAATTTAAAAAAAAAAGACCCGCTATATTTATCGTTTTCAGTTTTGTTTGTTTGTGCTATTTTATGGTTATAAATAGGGATGCGCATATGGACCGGGTAACCGACCACAACCGGTCCGGTCGGGCTGGGACCGGGACGATATTTTGTGGATTTTTGGAACCATGAACCGGTAGAACCGGCAAAAACCGGAACCATATGTTGCTATTTCTCTTTAAGTACCGGTTTCAAATTGAAGACACGGCAAGAACCGGTAGGAACCGGAACCGAAAGAACCGGAACCGGTAGAACCGGCGGTCCGGTTTGGTTCCTATTTTCCACCAAGTTCGGTTCCCGAGCCGGTTCCGGTTCGGACCGTTTCCTGCCGGGTCGATTACTTTGCTCCTCCCTAGTTATAAAAGAAAACGTTGTTGATGTTATTGTATGTCAAAACACTCATGATCTCTTTATTTATATACTATAATATGTTATTTTTATTTAATGATATAGTCAATGTGCTTTTCAATTTTATAAATATTATAATGTTTAAAATTAATAAATTATAAGGGGTTTAATACTATATTTCACAAGTGTGAAGATGATGGTAATTAGTTAAATTCTTAAAAAAAAATTAAAAATAGTTAATGAATGGAGATGATTTAAATAAATATCATTTTGTTTAATTAAGTAATTAGTGAAAATATGATATAACAAAGCAAACAAATTATACATAAGGGTCGAGGCTTGAAGATGCTTTTATGTTAACTTTGTTTGAACATGTCACAATTATGTTTTTAATATGTTATGCTTAACAACATTTTCCCAAAAAAAAGCTAAAAATGGTAACGAAAATTTTGAAATCATGAATAAACTTAAAACCATTTTAACCACCAATGATCATTTTGCAAAGCATTGAAAGATTAAATCAACCATAGAAGGAAAAAATATCACAACCATTGAAAACTTTGATTCTCATGGGATTGGGAGTGATGACGTATGGCGAACGAAACTCCAAAGTATAAGTTATCTAAATGTATCCACCAAGTAAGAGTAAACCGCTAGAATGCAAAACCTCTCTAGAGGTATCCACCGTCCTAGCCTATGCGGTGTTCCCATCGGGTACTAGTGTTGTGTGTCAGCCACCGTCGGTTGCAGCCCTTTAATAACATAAAACCTTACATTTTAGATTTTAATGTATATTTTTTTAAGTTTAACTAGTAGAACATCCCATGCTTTGCACGAGTTGGAGATTTTTGCATGTTTTCGCTTTGAATGTTGTATGAGTGGTTATACTAATTTCATTATAGATACATGTAATCGTAAAAGATTTATTTTCATTACATTATGTGACAAAAGATACATGTTCGTTATTAGTAAAAGATATATTTATGATAGAACGGATAGTAGCAATGTAATCCCAACCGCACCCCCTCCGCAAAAGTAAATGCACACTAGCTTTCCAGTTTGGAGAAAACACCCTTCATCTATTCTTTAACCGTAGAAATGCATTTGATTTGATTTCATCCACAACCCTAACTGGGATGTTTCAATCTTTGCAATGGGGACTGAAAATAACAATGCGAGACGGATAAAAGCTATTCAAGGGAAGTAATCCCAGATACACGCAATTCGCACCAAGTCTTCGTTAGAGCCCAAATTTCCATAGAACCAACATACTTACAAATTCGTGCCTATAAACTACATTGCTAGTATGGGTAAAAACTTCAGTGCAATTTGGAAATCATCACTTTTATCAAGAATTAAAAAAAAAAAAAAAGGTATATCGATCGTAGATACTTGTGGCCGTTTTTTACTCCACCAATTATAATGGAATTCCATAAAGGGTGAAACTGAAGTTTGGTACTTTAGATCCATGGATGAATACTGACCCCTCTTCTTTGTCTTCAATAGAATCACAATTTATGGCACTATTTCTTCACCTAAAAGACAAACAATTTTAATTGGAAAATAATAATCGAGTTATCCAAAGAGGTCTTCCATTTAATCTTGCACCAAGTATACACAAGTTTAATTTTTCCATCATTTCTATTTAATAATATGTTTCTGCTAATTTTTTTCCATTCCTATTCTGAAGCGTATGCAGATTTGGTGTTCATCTTGAATCCATTGAGTTCGAATTCATAAGCTGTTACACATCACATTCTTTTCCCATCAATCTGGTTTATTATTTTTATTTATTTATTATTATTTTTTTTTTGCTTTTGATGTATTTTGTTTTAATGTAGATGTGATGTAACTTTGTGTGTGTATACATATGCAATTTTTAAAGTTGTTTGTAAGTTTACACATACAAATGGATATGACACAAACTTGGGCAAGTATTTTTTTTCTTGAATAATAGATGATTTGATTTCCTCTTCCTTTGTTTTGTAAACGCATCAAGAATAATCTGTCTCAAGGCTGAGCATGAGAATTTATGGCTCTCCATCCTGATCGGTTTTAGGCATAAGAACAATCCTATGTGCTCATACAAACCCTAATGCTTGGATCTAGGTTTCTCTATTGTACATGCATTGAATCCAAGACTTGCAAACCCTAATCTAGCATACATAATTCGAAAATTAACTTAATACATCAGATCTAGATGTTTACCTCTTCAAAGATTGGCTTAGATCTTCTTATCTTCTTCTCTTGAGCTTAGAGTCACAATTGTAACTCCTCTAATGGATCACAAACACCTCAAGCAAGAAGGCAACTTTGAGAGAGGAGGGAGGATGCTAATTTTCGGCCCTAGGGTTTCTCTTGGAAGCAAGTGGCCGAAAATTGGAGCCTTGGGGTCTTATTTATAGTGCAGGTTGCTAGGGTTTCAGTCTAAACCCTAATGGATACCTTAGCCACCAAGTAGCCCAAGGAACCTTCTGGAATAAGGCCCTTGGACGAAAATTATGATGATCCTTCATCATAATTTCGTTCCCCTTAGTCCATTAAGTTTCTCAGCCCAAAACTCAACTATCACACATTTGACAGTTTATGTCCCTTTATTTAATTAATCTCTTTTAGTCACCAAAT